AGGGTGACATATGAGATAATGAGACTCTGTCTCAAAAAAAAAAAAAAAACAAAAAAAAAAACCCCCTGCTCTCACAGAGCTCACCCTTGAGAGGGAGACATGGGAGTACAGGAGGATGGAGGGCCCTGTGTGCAGAGCAGCAATTGCAAGGATAGGCCTGATGATAGGACAGGCCCCAATGGGAGGAGGCCAGCTCAGCTGGAGTGGAGCAAGCCAGGGGGCAAGGGCAGGATGGGGGAAGGGTGTGACTAGAGTTGCTGTGCCCAATGTGGGTGTGAAGTGTGCAGGACCCCTGATAAGAGGATCCAAGGGCACACGCGGAGGTGCACAGGTGAACAGAGAGGAAATTAGCAAGTAGGAGATGGGAAGGTGAGCAGTGGCACAGGTGGGCATGGGCACAGGTGGGCAGGGACAGAGGTAGGCAGGTATAGAGGTGGGCTGGGGGACTGGTCAGCTTTGGCACAGGTGGGCATGGGCAGAGGTAGGTAGGGTGGAGGTGGGCATGGGCGCAGGTGGGCAGGGACAGAGGTAGGCAGGCATGGAGGTGGGCTGGGGGGACAGGTGGGCTGGGGCATAGGCAAGTAAATGCACAGGGTGGACAGGGACCGAGGTAGGCAGGTATGGAGGTGGGCTGGGGGGACAGGTCAGCAGTGGTACAGGTGGGCTGGGGCACAGGTGGGCAGGTGCACAAGTGGGCTGAGTCACTGGTAGGCTGGAGAGGTGGTGGTGGGGCAGCTCCCATTTGGGACATTTAAAGGCATCTGTGGCCCCAGAAGTCAAAGACGTTGGATCCCTGGTGTGAGAATTTGAAATTCAAGTGTTCCCAGGGACTCTATTCCTGGCAGCTTCATAGCGAGGCGGGTAGAGCCCTCCTGGCTGAGCTGCACTTCTGCACCGCCCTAGGTTGACTCCACCAAGTACTACGAGGCCTGCGTGAGCGACGCGTGCGCCTGCGACTCAGGAGGCGACTGCGAGTGCTTCTGCACCGCCGTGGCCGCCTACGCCCAGGCCTGCCGTGACTCTGGCGTCTGCGTGTCCTGGCGGAGCCCCGATGTCTGCCGTGAGTAGAGCTCTGTCCGTGGTGCTGAAGGGTGGTCCTGTGGAGGAGACGCAGTGCGGCAGGAGTTTTGGGGGCAGAGCACTGTGTCCGGGACCATCCTGAGCTCGCCTGTGGAGACCCGCAGACCCCGCTTAAGCCTCTCTTCTTTACCTAGCCCTGTTCTGCGACTACTATAACCCACACGGGGGGTGTGAGTGGCACTACCAGCCCTGTGGGGCGCCCTGCCTGAGAACCTGCCGGAACCCAAGTGGGCACTGCCTGGTGGACCTGCCCAGCCTGGAAGGTGAGGGGTGCAGTGGCCTATCTCCGCCAAATCTTCCAGGGTTCCTTGGAGCGCGCACGGGGCGGGAGTCTCAGAGCTGCGGTGTGGGAGCTTTTAGGGCAGGACCTTGGGCAGCACCAGTTGGCTGAGAGGTCACGGGGTTCCAGTGGTCTCTCCTCGCCCTGTGGCCCAGGCTGCTACCCGAAGTGCCCGCCCAGCAAACCCTTCTTCTGTGAGGACCAGATGAGGTGCGTGGCCCAGTGTGGCTGCTACGGCAAGGATGGGAAGTACTATGACGTGGGCATGAGAGTCCCCACGGCGGAGAACTGCTTGAGCTGGTGCGTGGGGCGAGTGCCACACTGGCGCGGGGCCTTCGGGCGGGGCAGGGAGCTAGAGCGTGGCCAGGAAGGAGCCCGAGGCGGTAGCGGGAGTGGAGGAGGGGCGAGAAGGGAGTAGGGCGGGGAGTGGGCCAGGAAGCAGACTGGAGCAGGGGCCGGGGCGGGGCGGACCGGCTCCTCCCCACCACCAGGCCCTCGCTCAGTCCTTCCCTCCTTTCAGCTCCTGCACGACTGGCGGCCTCCTGTGCACTCACAGCCTGGCAGGTAAGGCACAGCCGGGTGGGTCAGATGTGTCCGGCCAGGGCCAGGGGTGGAGGCGCCAGGTGACGGATCCCTGCCCCACCCCCAGCCTGCACGTGCGTCTACGAGGACAGGACCTACTCCTATGGGGACATCATCTACAACACTACGGATGGTCTCGGCGCCTGCTTAATCGCCATCTGTGGAGAAAATGGAACGATTCTCCGAAGGGCTGTGGAATGCCCTGGAACCCCTTCCACGACGCCTTTCACCTTCACCTCCACCTCGGCCCCGCTCCCAACGTCGGGTAAGCCCCGCCTGGTTCTCCTATGGCCTGCCCCCTGTTAGTGACAGGAAAGGCACAGAGGGACTAGGCCCTGGAGGCCCCATGCAAGGGGCCCCCTCCTGGGCCCACCCGCTTCCCCAGGCTCCGCTGAGGGTCCACAGCCCCCAACACTCTGGTGGTCTCCAGGACTCCCCAGGAAGTCTCAACTGTGGTTGGCAGGGCTGTCCCCCTAGGACAGTAAAACCTTCCCAGCCCACACTGACTCCCTTCACTCCATCCAGAAGCCACCCTGACCCAGGCTCAGGCAGGCCCTTGGTCACTACCCAGCAAAGGGCCAGCTGAGGCTGAGTGAGGGCCCCTCTCACCCCCAGGCCTGGTGCCCAGCGTCTCCACCGGGTGTGTCCGTGCAGTCTGCCACTGGTCTAATTGGTATGACGGGGGCCGTCCAGAGGCTGGCAATGAAGGGGGGGACTTCGAAACATTTGAGAACCTGAGACAGAGGGGCTACCAGATGTGTGGGGCACCAACTGACATCGAGTGCCGAGCAGCTGATTTCCCCAGCAAGTCCTTGCATGAGCTGGGCCAGAAGGTGGCCTGTGACCGGATGGAGGGGCTAACCTGCATCAACCGAGAGCAGAACCCCCCACTCTGCCTCAACTATGAACTGCGGGTTCTGTGCTGCGACTACTTGCCCTGCAGCCCCTCCCCAGCCCCAAACACCAGCCCCCAACCTTCTCATGGCCCCTCAACGGAGCTCCCTGGACCCTCCACCCAGACCCCAGTAACCAGAGAGACCACCCCACAGGCAACACCCAGCTCCTCATCAACGGCGTCCCTGCCCTCACAGACCAGGTCCAGCTCACCTACTGTGACAGTCACCAACTTGGTCAGCAGCCCCCTAAACCTGCGCACCACGACTTGTCAGCCCCGATGTCAGTGGACAGAGTGGTTTGATGAGGATTATCCCAAGTCAGAAAGCGCTGGGGGGGACATTGAGTCCTATGATAAAATCAGGGGTGCAGGACGGGACATCTGCAAGCAGCCACAGGACATACAGTGCCAAGCCGAGAACTTCCCCAATTGGACCCTGGAGCAGGTGGGCCAGCGGGTACACTGCAGCATCCACTTTGGGCTGGTGTGCCGTAATGCAGAGCAGGACGGCCTGTTCAAGATGTGCTACAACTACAGAATTCGGCTACTGTGCTGTGACACTGCTCACTGCAGGGGACACCCCTCCACCCTGCCACCGGCCACAATGCCGGAGGCAGCCAGCACAGTCACCTCCACCCTGCCACCAGCCACGACGCCAGGGGCAGCCAGCACAGTCACCTCCACCCTGCCACCAGCCACGACGCCAGGGGCAGCCAGCACAGTCACCTCCACCCTGCCACCAGCCACAATGCCGGAGGCAGCCAGCACAGTCACCTCCACCCTGCCACCAGCCACGACGCCGGGGGCAGCCAGCACAGTCACCTCCACCCTGCCACCAGCCACGATGCCAGGGACAGCCACAGTTCCCTGGACATTGTCCTCAAAGCCACAGGTTGGGAGGAGCACAGGGCCGACTTGGACTGCCACTGCCAGCACCTCACCTGTGTCCACCCTCTCGAAGGGATCAACATTGCCCAGTTCTACAGCTCCTCCAGGCTCCACACACTCCACCTGGCCAGGGCGAACCACATCTACCCTTCCAGCTCACTCAACCCCACCAGGGACCCCAGGGGCCACTGGCACATGGGGCCCCTCACAGTCACTCATGCCAGTCACAACAATGCAAACCACAACAGCTCACTCAACAGGCACAGTTAACACCATCTCTGAAGAGCCTCAGACCTCAGGCCCGGCAGTGACAACACGCACAAGCCAGCCTTATACATCCTATCCCGAGACTAGATCCCCAAGGGCAGAGACACCGCTCCACACCTCAACACAGGCCACCACCAGCCAAGGAAGGACTGGCTGTCAACCCAAGTGTGAGTGGACAGAATGGTTTGACGTGGACTTCCCAATCTCAGGGGTCAAAGGTGGAGACATGGAGACCTTTGAAAACATCAGGGCTGCAGGGGCCAAGATGTGCCCAGCACCAAAGGAAGTGGAGTGCCGCGCAGAGAACTACCCGGAAGTGAGCATTGACCAGATCGGGCAGGTGGTGACCTGCAGCTTGGAGACAGGGCTTGTCTGCAGGAACGAGGACCAGGTGGGCAAGTTCAACATGTGCTTCAACTACAACGTGCGTGTGCTGTGCTGCAATGACACCAGCCACTGCCCCAGCACAGTGCCCACACCTGCGTTCACCTCCACTGCATCGGCCACCCTGACGGAGAGCCCAATGCCTACATACACCTTCACAGCATCCTCCACCTTCATACAGAGCCCCTTAGTGACCACTTCTATGGCCGCCATCTCTCCAGAAACCAGCTCCCTATCCACTATTTCCCTGAAAACTACCTCTTCAGCCCGTACCTCCCTGGGAATGAAGTCCCCGGCTACCACCTCCACAGAAACCTCCTTGGCCCACTCCCTGGGAATGAAGTCCCCGGCTACCACCTCCACAGAAACCTCCTTGGCCCACTCCCTGGGAAGAACCTCCTTGGCCACCACATTCACAGCCACCACTTCACCATTCACCAGGTCATCAGCGGTAAAAGGACCTTCCACCACACCCTCCTCCCCTGGGATCACCAAAACAGTCAGTCTCTCCACCATACAAACAGGCATCACCTCCTCCAGGACGACCGAGGGGCCCTCTGTCTCCAGTCCCTCTGCTCCACCAGCCTCTACCACCACCCTCTTCTACAGCACAAGGCAGCCCAGCTCTGGGACACTGACCACATCTACCAGGCCACCGTCAACCAGCACAGGACACCTGGTGACCTCCAGCTCCGGGCCCACCTTCACGACTCCGCCCTTCAACCACCCATCTCCCAGCACAGGCTGTGTGCCTCAGTGTGCCTGGACAGAATGGTTCAATGAGGGCTACCCCACCCCTGGCCCCGAGGGTGGGGACTTTGAGACCTATGCAGTCATCCGCTCGGCTGGCCACACCTTCTGTGAGCATCCTGAGGATATCCAGTGCCGGTCCGAGAAGGAGCCGGACAAGCCCTTGGAGGAGGTGGGGCAGGTGGTTCAGTGCAATGTGCGCTTCGGGCTGGTGTGCAGGAACCATGACCAGGTGGGACAGATGTGCCTCAACTACCTCATTCGCATGCTCTGTTGTGATTACAGCCACTGTCTCCAAACCCAAACCACCACAGCAGCTTCTCTAGGGACGAGCCTGACCGGGAGCCCCACACTGGCCCACAGCATCACGGCCGTGACTGTGTCCACCCGTGGCCCTGCATCCTCCAGTACAGGCCTCATGGACATGTCCACCAGCTGCAGGCCCACCTGCCACTGGACTGACTGGCTGGACACTGACCGGCCCCAGCCTGGCCGCTTTGGGGGCGACATCGAGACCTATTACCAAATTATGGACACAGGTAGGCAGCTATGCCTGGAGCCCAAGGCCATTGAGTGCGAGGCTGTGCTCTTCCCAGGTGTGCCCGTGGGGCAGCTGGGCCAGGTGGTGCAGTGTGATGTGCGCTATGGGCTCATATGCCGGAACCACAGGCAGAAGTTAGGACAGACCTGCCTTAACTACCGCATCCGCGTACACTGCTGCGACTACAGCCACTGTGCCAGTACCACCAGCTCCGTGCCCACTTCCACATTTGTGAACACAGTCCACAGCACACTCTCCACAACCAGGTCATCCACGGGGCTTGGATCCTCGCCCATCACCACCAACAGCCCTGGAACCACTGAAAGAGTGAAAGTCAGTACCACCCAGACAAGCATGACTACTATGGCCACCACCCCCTTGACCACCAGCTCACCATCCACCACACCATCAGGGGTAATAGGACCCTCCACCACACCCACCATCACACCTGGGGTCACTAAAACAGTCTACTTCTCTACCATGCAGACAGGTGTCACCTCCTCCAGGACAACCGAGGGACTCTCAGTCTCCACTCCCTCTGCCCCACTGGCCTCCTCCACCACCCTCTTCCACACCACAAGGCAACCCACCTCTGGGACACTGACCACATCCAAGAGGCCACTTACAACTAGCAGCCCCCACATAACCCCTCTGGTAACCTCCAGCTATGGGTCTACTTTGAAGACCACCCTGACCACATCCATCAGGCCACTCTTAACCAGCAACCCTCATACAGCCCCCCTAGTGACCTCCAGTTCTGGTCTCACCCTCACAACCACCCTCTCCTCCAGCCACCCATCTCCCAGCACAGGCTGTGTACCTCAGTGTGCCTGGACAGACTGGTTCGATGAGGACTACCCTATCCCTGGCCCCGAGGGCGGGGACTTTGAGACCTATGCAGTCATTCGCTCAGCTGGCCACACCTTCTGTGAGCACCCTCAAGACATCCAGTGCCGGTCTGAGAAGCAGCCAGACCAGCCCTTGGAGGAGGTGGGGCAGGTGGTCTACTGCGACGTGCGCTTTGGACTGGTGTGCAGGAACCGCGACCAGGTGGGACAGTTCAAGATGTGCCTCAACTACCTCATCCGTGTGCGCTGCTGCAACTATAGCCACTGTGTCAGCACCACTAGTTCTGTGTCCACATCCACACCTGTACCCACCGTCCACAGCACACTCCCTG